TTATGTTACACCAATTACAGTATAATATTGATAACGTCAGTCAGTGAGATGAAATGAGAGATAAGTGGCTTGTTTCCAAATGTGGGTCTTTTTAGTGTTTGGCATCTTGATCAATCTTAAGCTTGTTCTTCCATGGTCGTTGACACAATACTGCCACCAACAGGTTTTAGTGTGGACCCATCTTCATTAGTACTTAGTGAAGGCAAAAGGAGACATATACGTACGTTGTTGGGAAAAACATTGAGAACTGATTTCAAAATGTTCCAAATCAGATATTCAGGATAAGCAGAATGTGGAATCTTAGCTAGGGGCTCTCCCGAACCCCTGGGAACCCCCAGCAGCCCACCCTGTTTCCCCCCCCTAATGCAATAGTCTCCACGAACATTTCTTGTAGTAGTAGTAGTGAATGCTGTCTATTAATTACAAAAATGTACTTTTTGATGATCTCAGAATATTGCCAGTTAGTTGTAAATATTGGAATTACTATTACAAAGAAAAGGAAGGGAAAATGGTTTTTTTTTCTATACCACTCACAGGGAACAGGATGGAAGACTATAGTTGTAGAGAATTGCAGAGATGACCTTGGAGAAGACATGCCAAGTCAGTTAGCAAAGCATTAAACTCAGCCCAGAAAACAAGATAAGAGTGAAGAAACTTAAAAGTGACCCTGCTCTGACTCATTTTGATATAAAGCTGAGGGAAAGGAAAAACCTTCTCTGGGTTTCAAGATTCTGGTATTATAGCCTTGGTCAATGAAGTAGAATTCCAGTATTTTTTTGTGCAGCGCATTTACTGACCTGACATATTTTGAGGGTTGATAGTAATCTGTCATCTCTCTTCTACCCACCCCATTATAAATCTCCAAATTGCTCCAAATAGCTCAGTCTGAAATATGTCCATTTAAAAATGAGCAATACTCAGTCCAGTGGAATGTATTCCCAGGGAACTGTGGTGTGACAGAGCAGACAACTTCATCTCAAATAATCTTAAGTATAAAATGTGTGAGCTTCAGATCCGTAGATGCAATCCTTTTCCCACTGAAAACCATAGTGGATGGATCCTAAGGATATGGATCACTAGATTCCTGCTGCCATTAGTGGCAAGTCTATGGTGTGTCTGTTAAAGACCAGCTTGTTTATTGCCTGGAGATTGTAATACTGCTGTGTCTTTGCTATTGACGATAGGAACCCAGAGATCTGTATCAGATCATTGGTATCTAGGGGAACGGAGAGAGAAAGATGAAGAATTTTACTTCAGGTGTGTATGTCTGTGAAGGGATCTTTGTATGCTTGTGTTTGGTTTCTTGATCACCTGTTATATACTCTCAGTGTATAGAATGACTGTAGTTCTCTAGTCTCCAGGCAGATGTCCCAAAGACTCGGGATTCTTATGAATTTTCTTTCAGAACCTGATGAGTTCATATCCAGATAGAGGCAGTGCATCACTGGAAATCTGTTCCTACCAACCCTCCCAAGAGCTTCAGAGCACAGCTCTTTCCAAAGTTGGCAATGTCAAAGAAGACTAAAAGGAAGTTGGGCTGAGGCAGTTATGAATCCAACCATTGTCTTAGTGTGCATTCAGGGTCGTCATATGTTACGCCAGTCTTAGTGTTGGCATGAGGAACTGAGGGAGGGAACAATTACCTTCTACTATCAGGCAATGAAAATTCTCTGAAAGTGGGAACAAGAATGGATGTTTGCCAAATATTGCAGAACAAGAATGGACACTGAGTGCTTCCTGAAGTCAAAAGAAAGTTAGGGTAAACAGCATCAAGGAGAACCTGTCATAATGTATCTACTGACACAAAGTTCATTGATATATGTTTACATTCTGTTTCCAAGATTCTATTATTATTTGTCCTTGAAAAGTATCTCACTAAAAAAGAAGTGATAATTTAGTTTTCTTGGATAGAGGGGTTCACACATTCCTCTAAATGAATAGATTTCATTTTCTTCCAATTTCCAACCAGAAAAATGAGATACGTGACTCTAGACTAATATTTATGCCTTGTAAAAGATGCATACCTTGTAGTATGTACAACTACTATTAACCTTTACATCAATACAATAATCTGTGTGCTAGGAACCATTAGAGAAGGCTTATGGGTGAGGGTGAAGAGGGAGGAATATTGCATTTGCATTATGCTTATAATATTATGTTTATATTATGCTTATATTATGCTTTCTATTTATATGACATTTGAAATGTTTAAAGATAAGCATGATTGAGATGCAAACTTAAAGTGCCTCCTCTCAATTATTTTTTAAAGTTCAAATCCTCCTGTTTTTCCTTCTTCCATCTTACTCTTTACCATCACATCACAATCGTTGATTTTAGTTGTTGGTAACCCTGACATTTTTACATGCAATTTTAGGAAGGGAAATCCTTGTAGATGGAAATGTAGAAAAATGATTGCAGAGGTGAAATAAAGATGGTGGTTTGTCAACATATGCTTAGATAATAATTGAAAAACTGCATATTGATCAAAATCATTGGAGGAATTCCAGTTCCATTTTTCCCCCCAGAATATCCTTTCACACAATAAAGCTGCCATGCAATTTATACATACCAAAGAAATTTAAAACTTGGCCAAGATGTGCTAGAGGTGAAAATTTCAAAAATCTGCAGGAGGTAAATGAATTTGAGAAAATTGTAAAATCTTGCTTTCAAAATCTGATTTTGACAATCCTTTTTAATGTAAACTTAAGGTATTACTTTTAAGGCAATCAAAACCACAGCTTGCTAAATGCAACTGTTTACATCCCTTCCCTCACCATTATATTCCCAAATTGAATGATTTAAATTAAAAACAAAAAAGAGGTGTTTTGCAAAAAAAAAAAAAAAAAGTTTTGGAAGAGCGAAGTGGAGAACACTTGCCCCTTTCAGACAAAAAAATAACTTCAGTTCTGGTAGGAAAAAAATGACTTTATTTAATGCAATGTTGAATAGAAGAATCATTTTTGTTTTTCCTTAGTTGCTTTAACAGACACCCCCCCCCCAACACTTACTTTTTAAATGCACAATAAGTAATAATACAATTTTTGCATTATTTGTAATGCCACATCAATTGTGCATGTACTGGAAGGGCATTATGTCATGAATTACCCATCAGCAGTCTTCTTTCTTGACGCAAGTTCACTACTAAAAAAGAGAGAAAGTGGTTGTTTCTCCCTAATAAATGAGCTGTGTGCTAGTGTGCAATTCAGTTCACGTATTTTTAAAAATTAAAGGAGAAATGTGTTGAATTGTCTCAAAAACGTTGGTGAGACTGGAAGAGGAACCAGGCTAAGGGATTCAACAGGGCAAGATTAACTTAAATACCGATTTAATTTTTGTCGATACCTGTAGAGCAAGGGTGTCAAACTCGATTTCATTGAGAGCCGCATCACGGTTGTGCTTGTGACTGCAGAGGGTGGGCGTGGTCTAGGTGGCCATAGCCAGCTTGACGTCACTCTTGTCAGGGTCTCTGTGGTGGCCCAAGCGCTCTGCCAATGAAAACTGAGCTCGGGAGGGCTGTGTGTGGTCCTCCTGAGCTCCATTTTCACTGGCAGAGGCACCACAGGCCAGGCCAGGGTGGCCCACGGGCCAGATCTAAGCACCTCGCAGGCCACATCCGGCCTGCGGACCTTGTGTTTGACCCCTCTGCTGTAGAGAATTGGGAAGATGACCTTGAAAGAAGTAAAAAAAATCTTGCCTAGACAGAGGGGGCTGAAATTTCTTTTTAAGATCTGAGAAATATTAGGACCTATGATGTACTGGAGTATAGTATGGTGGGGAGGAAGGTACAATACAATCAGACTTGCAAGATTCTTTTTATAATAGCCAATCTCAATAAAGTTAATTCTGGTCTTCCTATAGCCGTGATGGTGAACCTATGGCCGGAAGTGGCACACAGAGCCATTTCTGCCAGCATGCGAGCCGTAGCCCGGAACAGATCCACTGCGCATGCGCACGCACCTCCCGCCAGCCGATTGTCGGGTATCTGCCACGCACTTTCCGCATGCGATGACGAAAAGGTTAGCCATCACTGTCCTATAGAGTTGATTTCCCCATCTGGTCTACCAACTGAGGCTGACATTACCCCATTTCATGGATACAGCCATATTCCTCCTACCCTCCCCATGATCGTGCGATCAAAATTGAAGTGCTTGGCAACTAGTTCATAGTTATGACCGTTGCTGTGTTCCAAGATCATGTGATCACCTTTTGCAACCTTCTGACAAGCCACATCAATGGGGAAGCCAGATCCACCTAACAACCGTGTACTAACTTTAATAACTGCAGTGATTCACTTAACAATTGTGGCAAGAAAGGCCATAAATGGGGGCAAAACTCACTTAACTGTCTCGCTTAGCAACAGAAATTTTGGGCTCAATTGTGATCCTAAATCAAGAGCTACCTGTATGCAGGAGGGCTCCCAGCTGAATCCCTGGTACAGGTAGTTCTCATTTAGTAATGACCGGGACAATAGGACAAGGTGGTTAAGTGTGAGGATTGGTCATAAAGCTGCTTTTTCATCACTGTTGTAAGTGCAAACAGTCACTAAATGAGTACCTATATTGCCAGGTAGGGTTGGATAAACTGCTTAAAAATTCTAGGTTGAGTTGAAGCCAGGCAAGGCTGACATTAATACAACAGATGGACCAGTGTAAGGCAGTTTTCTGTGTTCCTCTTTTGTTATTGCTTGGCTAGTTCCTCCTTGCCCCTGTAGTAAGCTAGGCCCAAGACTACTTGTTACTTGTACTGCTGCTCTGCTGGCATCAGATTGCCCAGACATAAAATTATCCCAAGATATAGACAATTGTACCTTTCTTCTGAAAGGGAAACTTTAGCTGGGAAATCAGTCTTAAAATAAAAGAACCAACAGGGAACCAGGATACTAAAAACTTCAAAATCTTGGTGGGTGAAAAAAAAAAAACCTTTTCAGTGTAATAGTTCTCTGTCATCACAGTAATATCCATATGGAAAGGGAGATATAAATTATGCCACAGTTCTGCTTAGATCTGATTAGCAGATGTTGTTGAATAGGAAATGATAGGTGGCTATGAAAAGTGGCTCAAATAAAAGAGGATTTTTCCCATTATTCCTGGTGGATGCTATGCTGGGTGGCAATCCTAATGCCACTTTCGAAAAGAAAAGAAAAAAAGAAAAATGCACACAGACTAGGCGAGGAGAACCTTTTTCCTTTAACTGACCATGATTTGTCTGACACAGAAGGAAGCTAAACGCCAATGGAGACTCCTAAGCCTTCGCAGCTTGGTGCGACACCAGGGAGGAAGGCAGCAGCTGATGAGTAGAGGCTGGGGCACAATAAAACACGAGGAGATCTCCCCTCTTTCACTTCAGTCATCACTATAAACAGGTGGCAGGGGCAGGGGAGACTTAGCCACAAAGTGCTCACGGCAGCCAGGTAGGGAAAGGGGAGATTCTTGCTTTAGAGCTGCAGCCTTCAAGGGATCTGAAAGACATTGAGTTTGCTGGTGTTTTTGAGTGTCTGTCGCCGGTTGCAGAACCAAACCCGGACCACTTCCCGGTCATAATTGAGCTCCTTGGCGATCTCGGTGATTTCATGGCCGGTGGGGAGGGTGTTTTTCTCAAAATAGGCGTTGAGGGCCTCAATGGCCTGCGGGGTGAAAGAAGTGCGCCGTTTCCGCTTCTTGGAAGGCTCCCCGCCCACAAACTCCATCAGGTTCTGCTGTCCTTCCTGATTCCGAAGCTCAGCTTCACTCAGCCACTTCTCCAGCACGGGCTTTAGCTTCTGGGCACTCTTGGGGGTGATGTCCAACTTTTCGAATCTGCAAAATCAGCAGGAACCATTGAGGAAGGCAAGGCGGATTTCTTGTCACTACTGTTTGCTACCCAGCCCTGAGGAAATCAATACCTCAATGTTCAGGTTTGATTCATTAGTCATTTAAGGCAGGGCAGAGCTCAAAATGAGTGGGCTCCACACGATCCCTGAGAAGTAACTGCCATCGTAACAACAATCCACTTAATTGAGGATTAGAAACCGATATGAAATCCTACTGTGATAGAACGTGCACCAGGAGGAGCAGAGCGGGAGAGATTTGACAACGCAGAGCTTTGCCAGAAAGGAGCCCAGACTAAGAGACCACACAGTTCTGAGGTAGATGTGGGAAGGGGGAAGAGATTCAGAGTAGCCACCCTAGAATCTGTCAAGAAATATCTAGTAGTCAGAGAGTTATAGCTTTAGTTTGGCAAGGTTCTGTCCATCGGGTATAAGCAAGTGAAGGATTGAATTCAATTGGACTCACTGTCTCATCTCTAGGCTTGGGCCTAACACCTATTTAGGGCTATAGTATTCCATTTTGGGCTGCAATTATTTAGATAGCCACTAGATGATAACTCAAGAGATACAAACAACTCTATCACTTTTGCTGCCACGTAGTGGTCATCTGGATTTTGCATCCTAAATACGATAGCCCCATCCTATTGTTTTGATGGTATTGAGCTATTTTAAAGAACTGGGAAGGAAGAAGGCCTAGTGTTGGTTTAAACAGGCCTATCAAACTGGCAGCCCGTGGACTGGAGGCGTCACATGCAGGCCATGCTCACCCGAGCTCTACAAAGGCAAAAAATGTTGCGATACATCACAGTATGTCATGTGACACAATTGAGTTTGACACTCATGGTTTAAAAGAAGACTGGCCAACTTGTTTTTCTATCGGGGGCTGCATTCCACCCAGAACCAACTGCACAGGGAAACAGACTGGCTTACCTGCATATAGCAGACTGGCTGTATGCAGGTCCTTCAGTGGCAGTTAATGCCTGCCCCACCTGGGTTTGGGTGAGGCCCAAAGAGAGACGTCGAATCTTAAAATTCTTGGCAAACTCTCTGATCTCCTCCAGGTTTATGCCATCTTCATCACTCCCACTATTTGAAGGTTGAGGCTCTGGTAGGAGAAAGAATGAGAAAGACACCCTTGTTCCATTTTGCAGTTTCTGACTAAATTGCACTATAAATCCTTTCTTCCTGCAGCCACATGCATCTTTCATGCTACTGGGCAGGAAGTCGTTTTCATTTCACAGCAGTTGAGTTGTGATTTGAAAATGGGGGACATTTCCATCACTCCTTTTAGGTCACACTCTGGTCTGGTGCTGGTAGTTCTCTTTCCTGACTGTGTGGTTGGTCCCAGTCAGTTGAAGAGATTCAGCCTACAATTACTCCATGACAGGGCTCCCACTTTTTATTTAATATCTATATGAAGCTGCTGAGGGGTGTCCAGATATTTTACCGAGCAGGTTGCCTTCATAAATAATGAGTAAAGCAATAAAACCTGGCTCTGGGAGAGAGAACTTGCAAGATATTGGATTTTGGTATTCACCCTGACACTCTGTTGGTCAGGGTCATTACAGCCAATATTGTTTATTAATGTTGTGTTGTTCTAATCCTCTGTTTTTCTGTGTATGCTGCTGCTCGTTATTAGGAGTAGAGTGACACGTTTTTAAAAAAGTAATACTGTACGTGTCTTTTTGATTTGGATTAACGCTTGCAGGCGTCCCCACACCAACAGCCTTTTTCTCAAGAAGCTGTAGGGTGTATAACAATGCCCCTTTAACACAGAAAGCAGGCAACCCCCTTCATGGTTTTTTTACCATAAATGTTCCATGAACCAGCCTCCATTACTGGCAGCTTCTTTCTCTGCCTGCTACAAGAATCACAGGGATACCAACATGCTTACTTGAAACCAGCTGGCTGACAGTTGGTGACTCTGAGCAGGTGATGGGGACAGGAGTGGAAGCTAGTTTGGATGCTGGGGGAGGACTTGCAATAACCACAGCTGGCTGTGAGAGAGCTGGGGCCGGCTGAATTGGCTGGACCTGGCAACGGAGCAGAAGAAAGCAATATTCAGACCAAAACAGTTTAATACTGCTTTTGTTGGTTTAGCTTGGCTGCCCATTTTCTACAGGTAGCCCTTTACTTACAACAGTTCATTTAGTGACCGTTCAACATTACAATGGCACTGGAAAAAAAGGGACTTTGTTTTTCACACGACCATTGCAGCATCCCCATGGTCACATGATCAAAATTCAGAGGCTTGGCAACTGGCTCATATTTATGACGGTTGCAGTGTCCTGGGGTCATGCGATCAGGTTTTGCAATCTTCTGACAAGCAAAGTCAATGGGGAAATCGGATTCACTTTATAACCGGTGTTATTAACTTAACAGCTGCAATGGTCCACTTAACAACTATAGCAAGGAAGGTTGTAAAATGGGGCAAAATTCACTTAACAGCTGTCTAACTTAGCAACAGAAATGTTGGGCTCAGTTGTCTTAAATCAAGGACTACCTGTATTTATTTTGCATCGTTTGTAGCTTTTTTACGAGTTTTTCAAATTGTTGCAAGCTTCCCAGAGATACCTGTTTGAGATGAACTGAGATAAATTGAATGAATGAATGAATGAAAGAAATGACTATGAATGAAGAACGGCCTAATGAGCCATTATGCTGGTTGTAATCGGAGTCAAAGAAGGCGCATTAAGCCAATGAGAATTGTGCCAGGTAGGAAATACATTTACCTTTGTTTACTTTATGTGATTTATACTGTTTGAATAAAGTTAATATATCTTGATTCTCAAGTGCATGTTACAAGAACTCTTACTTTGAAGTGTCAGTGCCCAGCCTTCTCACTTCCCAACTGAAATACCAGTCGTCAGATTAGCCAATTAGATTCTAGCTCAGCTGCAGGACATGCCTGTCAGCCTTATAAAGTAATGGTCCATAGGTATTAGCTAGTCTTTGCTAGGCATCACTAACTTCAGCTACAAAAGGAATAGGATCAGGTTTTCCAGAGCTTAGTGCTGGAAATGAAAATGGATTGGAGGGAGAACATTTTAGGTCTGCTTCTGTTTTCATCTCAATCCGGGATGATATTATTTCAACCAGGACTCTCTACACATGGACCTTAGTTGCTAACCTGAGCATCAGTGTTGCTATATGTAGCATATAAATCCCACTGATCACCCTGACACCGAATAAAGCATATTTCATGCCTCAAGCAACATTTGACAAGAGTATTTTACACATTCAGCTACCAAGTCATCAAGGATCAGGGCCAAGTGAAGATGTTTTGCAGCCTGAGGCAAAACAGGAAATGCTATTCCTGCTTCCAGCCGATTTTGTGACACCTCAGGCTTGATTAACTAATTTGACAGGTGAAATGCAAAATTGGCCTGCCTCCTCTTCCTCAGCAGTAACAATAATAAAGTGCCTCGAACTGTGCCTTACTTTTTAATATATTTTAATTTTTCATAATGTTTGTTTTATATTTTTATAAGGATTGTATTTATATAATTGTTATTCTTACTGAGGTATGCCATCCAGAGTGGCTTTTGTGAGATAGGCGGCTGTATAAATGTGTTTGATAAACTGGTTTATTAATCTAAAGCATATGAAGAATGGTTGAAGGAATTGGGTATATCTATTTTAATGAAAAGAAGGACTAGGGGAGACATGATAGTAGTGTTCCAATATCTCAGGGGCTGCCACAAAGAAGAGGGAGTCAAGCTAATCTCCAAAGCACCTGAGGGCAAGAGAAGAAGCAACAGGTGGAAACTAATCAAGGAGAGAAGCAACCTACAACTAAGGAAAGCTTTCCTGACAGAACAATTAACCAGTGGAACAGCTTGCCTTCAGAACTTGTGGGTGCTCCAACACTGGAGATTTTAAAGAAGAGATTGTCTGAAATGGTATAGGGTTTTTTGCTTGAGCAGGGGGGTTGGGCTAGAAGACCTCCAAGGTCCCTTCCACCTCTGTTATTCTGTTAAATAAATAATTTGGAGCTCTTTCATGACTTCTCCTAGTTCAACAATCTATCAAAAGCAGTAGGCTCCCCATTTCTATTTAATCCACTTTCCTCGCTCTCCATAGGTGCCTCTTTCGGCATTTTGGTAATTTTTCTGTTAAGATCCTCTGGTGATTTTCTCAGCAGCTTGGCTAGTTGGGCTCACCTCACTCTTGGCAGGAGATTCTGGCGGGGTTGACTTCCGGACAGTAGTTGCTGCCTGGATGGTGCTAGCCAAGGTGGCGATGATCTGACCTTGAGCATTTAAAAGCAACTGGGGCGTCACTGCCTGCACTTGTAGATTTTGTGCTGGCAATGTAGCAGGGGCAGGAGTTGGCGTTGCAATTCCGGTTGGGTTCACTACCCATGGAAGAGTTCCAATAACCTGGAGGACAAAGGCAAGGGAAAGCGCCAAGGTTGCGTCATGTTAATCTTCTGACATTTTCCTATCAAAACCACACAGATTTAGTTTTCCCATTAAGATTTCTGTAGCAGAGCCAAGACAGTATAACGTTTAGGATATAGGAGCGGGACCAGGCAGAGTCCCATTGGAGTCCATCCATGACTTTGAAAATTCACTAGATGACTTTGGCTTAATAATTATCTCTATGCCCAATCTATATCCAAACAGGAGAAGAAAAATGCTCTCTAATGCGCCTTAAACTTTGGAGGAAAGGCAGGCTCTGAATACATTGCATAGATGTTTTGCTTGGCAACTAAAAAAGAAAAATTATTGTGTCCTTTAAACCCGGCCTACTAATACATTAATTTGGTTTCTGGAGTGGTGCAGCACTTACTTGTCCTTGAGCATTAGTCAGGATTTGTCCAGTTATTCCTTGCACACTAGGAATGGTGTTTGCAATGACAGGCGTAGCCGCTAGTGAGCTAAGCAGCTGGGTTGGGGCTCCAAGAGAAGCTGCGCTGATCTGCGAGAGATATCAAAAGAAAACAATAAATAAAAACAAAGATCAAAGGTTAGGATTCTTCATTTTCATGCAAAGTGAGATCTTCTCTGCCTCAACTGCTTCTATACTTTCTTCCACAAGGCAGAATTATATATACATTTGTCACTCTCTATAGATTATGAGGCATTTATTGTATTAAGAAGCCTGATCACTCCTGAGGAGGTCAGTTTGCCCTGTTCCACAATCTAAATAATCAAATTATCTTTGAAAATCTGCAATCTGACTAACCTTGTTCTATTTGTAAGTTAATACATGGATAATGACTGCCATTTTTGGCACCAGTCTTCAAATATGACTAACGAGTGATTTGTTACTGCAAAGGTCAATGGTTTTCTTCAATAAGAAAAGAGCGGCGGAATTCTTGTTTTTCTTATTTTTAGCATTTCTCTCACTTTGTGGCAGCATCTGCTTGGTTTATAGCAGACTCTGTAGCCGACACAGCAAAGCTGTGTAATGCATGATGTAAGAAGAGTTTTTGTTTTTCAGTGACCATGTTGTAGAGCCTGACGCTGATTAGAGCTGAGAAGATCACCCAAATGACTCCTATGCTGATGGGAGGACTAGAGTCTTGGGCTTGGGAACCTGGAATATAACCTAGTCCATGGGTCCCCAAACTTTGCAACGTTAAGACTTGTAGACTTCAACTCCTGCTGTAG